TCTTAACTAACTTCCCACACTCCTTACATCTAACTCGTTCGGTCTCTGGCTCGAGGATGAAATAATTTTCGACGAAACGAACATTCGACGAAACAAACATTCGACGAAATGAACATTCGACGAATGAACTTTCGAAGAAACAAACATTCGACGAAATGATTGTCGACGAAATAATTTTCAACAAAGTAAACGCGACCGATATTATATTTTATTTAATAATTCCCTATATTTAAAATTAACAATATATAACTAGAATATCATTTAAGACCTGGATTCTCAGAGATGGATTATATTTTAAATGTGCAAAAGTATAGTAGTAATATATATATGTTTCTTCCATATTAAAAATTTATAGATTTCATTCATCCATTCTTTATTAATAAACAATTTATATGATACAATTTCATTGACTTTGTTTTTCATCAACAACAACATCTTTGCAATAGTATATTACCACTATGTAAATCAGAATGAATTAAATCTTTTTCATGTATAAAATATAATGCAACACATAGATAATAAAGATTGTAATTCTATCTTTTAATGTAAATAACAATCTGAATGATAATTTAAAACCATTGTGTAATTTTCATTATTTGGGAATTTAGGCATTTAACAATCATCAATGATTTAAGTTTGCAATAACTCTCTGCCTGAAAATAAATATAAGATCAATTAGTATTATATAATACAGTTTTGTTATAAATGACAACTATCAACCTCATCAAAAAAGCCTTTTCTTGGATTACTTGAATCATCTAAACCTTTAAATACTACCTTTTGCCTTCCTAAATAATAACTAAATTCCTTTTTATTTTCATCATAATCAATTATTCTTCCTCTTGTCCATGCAGCAATATAAATTGAACTAAATCCACCTTCTGTCAACTTTGTTACTTTTTTCAAGATATCCATTCTAAAATATGAGTTGGCAAAGTTGATTCATTTGACATTGTTTGAATAAAATCATCAATTATGTTATCTTGAGATGTCCAAGTAGTGAAAAGACTTTGTAGTTGTAAAACTAATATAACCTTCACAGAGTCTATCAGAGTACCTTGTTGATTATTTACATTGGTTACATTCTTTTGATTTGCCCAATTTAAATGTTACATTATTTAATTCAAAATTATAAACAAACCTTTCTTTACAACATTTTTAGAAAGCTCTTTGTTTTTTTTTGACTAATGAAAAAATAATCTTTACTCCTTTCTCTATCAGAATTAACTGCTGTATTATGATACATTTCATTATCAATTTTATATACAAATTCCCTTTCTTTCTAGTGATAACAGTTACATTATTTGTAATAAACAATTTTCTTATTATAATAATAAACTTCTTGGTGATAAAATAGTTTATTTAAAATTTTCTCTAACAAGATTAAAATTGCATTGTTTAAAGAACAATTTTATCTCTGGTGATTGATTCATTGTGATTCGGCAATAAAGAAATTTCTGTATTCTTTGTTTTCTCCTTTTATCACTTTTAATCTTCAAAGTTAAAACTGTGCCGAAACTTGTCTTACATAAAGGTTGTTCTACATACTGGGTACCTTCAAAAATTATTATATTGAGATTGAGATTGAATATTTGATTGGATTGAGATTGGATTGAAATTGAAATTTTCAA